ATAGTTTAAAAAGATTTAATTTACGCAAAGAGTAAAGGAAGTTAGCACAAGTTTAACGTTTTATCATCACGAATGTCGTCATTGGATTTGCATGGAATTATTATAAAAGGAGATTTGTTCGAACGTATTCTTCTCAAATGTGATTTTCAGCAGTAAATTACATATCTATGAAACGATAACAGATTTCCATTAGTATGTGAACTAGAGTAATTAAAGACAGATTGACTGTGAAAGAGATTATGTATTTACCGAGGTATGAAGGTAACTTATATTTTATATTATATATATGTATAAATATAAATATAAATATTTTGTATATAAATATACATATTTCTCTTCACAAGGGGCAGGATGCGATATATGTATCTCGTGATACGCGTGTCACGCAGAATAGATTTCCGCGCTGATGCCTTTTAATTGGCGTGGATGTCACGATTATATGAAAATAAAATGCTCATTACAAGCACAGATTTTCATTAGCTGAAACTGTTTGTAACGAATGTTTACTAGGGCTTGAATAATATGGCGCTGTAAACATATGTGTCCAATGTTTTATGTATTTTATGCTTACTTTTTCCACAGCGTTTGTAATTTATATCCATAATATTATACAACTGCCATGGAATATATTAATATTTTATCAATGTAGTAAAATTAGTACGTAGAAATTGGCAAGATAAGGTTGATATAAACAAGATGAGATTTTTTGGTTTAAATTACGTTTAAATTTAACAGATAAATCTTAGTTCCTGCTGTTTCCTATTGAAAATAAATTGAAAATTCTCGTTTTTATATATTATATTATTATATGTTGCATTTTATCGATATTATTAAAAAAACAAAAGAGTTGATGTTATAATATATCGCTCATTGTTATAATATAATATTTGCATAAAAATATCAGATATAAAATATAAAGTATTCATTATACCTGTAATTTTACTTTATATGCAAACACATTGCAATACTTTAATATTATTAAATAAATTTAATTATACCGTCAACGGCTCAATTCATTGGACGTTAACGGTAATTTCACGTCTAATTAAACAAATTAAAATTTGTGAAGTTTTAATTTGAACTTAATTTTACAAGTTTAAATCGTGCGAAACATTTTATTTTAACTCGTCTTCAGGCAAAATGCAATCAAATGCTCGTGCTTCGACTAATCGCTGATCAATCCGATCGCGGTAGTCGTGTGCGCCGGTTGTCACGTAAGTGCATGTGCTGTAAGTACTCAGCGTGCACAAGTACTCACCATCCGCACGTGCATCTCGAAACCCAACCGGGAAGCGAACCGAAACGGTGGTGGTGCGGTCGCAGCGCGGTGGCGCACGCGCCACCAGATAGCGGGAGACGGGAGGATGGTTTATCTCCCTGGCGCCATAAACGTTGCAGATATTATGGATAGTGGACTGAGTTACGGGCCAATATTTCTTCGTAATTATTCTACGCTCCTACGTAACGGGAGAGATAGCATCGCGGAGAGAAGCCAGGTATAAAGGCGCTTACACCGTACCGACCGCCCGCGCCACTTTCCTCCCAGATCGTCGTGCCGCCCTCCCTTCGCGCCACGTCCGAATTTAGATTGTGTTTTTTATTACCATGCTCGTACGTGATATCGGATTTTTTCCACGACCCGCGATCAGCGTAGTCGATTTATCAGTGTCGTTTGTATGCTTAACCGACGGCCTCGTCTCGTGCATTATTTTATCCGCTCCATCGTCGTTCATTGTCGTCGTCGTCACGATCGGGACGAAAAAAAGCGGGGAAAATGAATAGTGCTTGAGTTCAAAGAAACTTGTAACTTTTTGAATTTTTTATTTTGACATGCGAAACCTTATTTTTTTCAGAACTTATAATTATTACGATTACAGCAATTCGAAAAAAATGATTTTCTGTGATATGTATCTATTTATTATACTGCTAAATGTCATGGGTGGCCCCATCGGGTCAAATAACATTTTGTTATTTTTAACTTCCATGTGTGTCAAAATGTAAATTAGTCCATTTCTGCGGTTAGTTTCAAAGTAAACAACATTAATGAGACCATAAAAAATATACTACAGGCAATAGGAGTCGACGTTGGTTATCAATTAGCGCAATTTTTCTTAATACTAAAAATATAAACCTTAACTTTGAACGTTTCCACTCATAGTTTGAATCTTCATCAGCAATCTTTCCCCCTAGCGCAACGAGCTTGAGTTCTCATTGCCACTCTGCAGCTTTCTAACTTTGTGAGTATGTGACTTACCTCACAACAGTAAACGGTTCAATTTTTGAGAAGAAATACGTTGGAGATATTATTTTGTCATGCAATACTCCAATCGTTGCGCTGGGGGGAAAGATTGCTGATGAAGACTCAAACCATGAGTGGAAACGTTCAAAGTTAAGGTTTATATTTTTAGTATTAAGAAAAATTGCGCTAATTGATAACCAACGTCGACTCCTATTGCCTGTAGTATATTTTTTATGGATTTATTAATTATTTTAATTAAAGGAGTCTAAAAAAACTTATTAGTTTTTATTAATTTATAATTTATCATTAAACAACATTAATGTATATACTTAATAAATAATAAACTAAATTTGAATCGTGAATACATTTTTTTGAATTAAATTGTTTAACTTCATTGTTTTATTCAAATTAACGATATATTGATTAGAAACAGTGACGAGAGAGAGAGAGAGAGAGAGAGAGAGAGAGAGAGAGAGAGATTTATAGAAATGATTAAAAATAACTCAAATTAAGTATAATTTGACATTATGAATTTAACACTGTATTTCGCGTAATAGTTTTATGGAACCTTTTATATGTAAGGAACTCATTTTGGGAAAATTCAAATCCAAAGTGATTTGATGACACTATAAAAAATGGAGAATTGAAGCAACTGTTGGGAAATAACTAATATTTGTATGCAAAGAATCTTTCATCGCCACTTACTGCTATTCTTTAGGAAGGATTTTCCGGCAATGTTTCCTCCAGGCGTTCATTCGTAACGAAAGTCGTAAATGAGGGGAAAAGAATACTCTAGGATAATGAAGGCTATAGGTAGCAGAGAGTTTGCGCGTAATTGTTCGCGAGAGTATTTTTCTTTTCTTCGGGAATCGACCGACGGAGGAGGTTCACCGAAGTTAATTCCTCATTATTTCGCTACCCCTGGCGACGATTAACGAGGCGCCTCGTAAGACTAAAATTGCTACAGAAGGCTGGCGATTAGTTTCAGAATACTCTCTGGAAGATTTCCTACGGATTATTTTTCAAGTTATGTAGTCTTGTGCAAAAAGTATAGCCCTATTTTCTACGTAATCACTTGAATGATTCCTGCCTCGAATGTCGGCTTTGGAATCGTATAAATCTGATGGCTATATTTTATGTATATATGATTATAATATACTATAATTATTAAACAATATTATAAATATTAATTCCTATAAAATATTAATTTTCACGAAGCAAATCATTAACTAGGTAAATTTTCTCTTTAACGTTTTGCGGCGTGTCATTTTTATCATTTTGTTTCAACTACATTACTGTTAAGCACAATTACACACTTTTTCTTCGTAATGTTTGTCTGCTTGTACGCGCAATTAAGTTTTCCACGTTTATACTTTTCGCCTGTTCGTTCGAGAAATAGCTTCGTAAATTTAAACTTCCAATTACATTCTCATTATTAATTAAACTCGATTACGTTACAAATTTTAGTTGACTACGGATACATATCCGACGAGATGGGGAAACAATTTTTTGTTTTTTTAATTGTCTGAATATAACTTGTTACTGTAGCGTTTACCGATTACATGCGCGTTCTAACTCCGAGTATTCATCCGTTGATAGATGCAACATGAAATTGTAGCAACAATAGCGCTACGAGGCAGCTGGCGCTGTTATCAACGAAAAGACGCTTTCCAAAATAACAATGTTCAAAATGATGACTTTGTTGTTCACTCTGCGCTATTGTACCGAGTTATTACCAATTGGAACAATAGAATAACCTGAATTAATGAAAACATTTCTAGATGTGGACAATTATTTTTTGGTCGCCATCTTGAATTTAGGTATCTGTCGAATGTTTTCACTAAATCGTTTGGTTATTAATGTCCTACAAAAGAACAGCTGGATTTTTTTTTTTCGAATTACTTGTATTTCGCGCGGTGTAATCAAACACGCTGTAACTACTACTCTCGTTCAATTAAAAAACTTTTCGGAAGAGTAAAAATTATTGAAGTAAATGCCAGTTGTACGTTTTAGATAAATACTGTATAGATTACCTTGTGGGAATATAACCGCGTTTACATTCAATTTATAGATTGGTTGTTTTATATATTTTTTTTTTATGTCCAACGCACGTAAACGAAGTCGTTTCGCGAAATTTGGCTCAAAAGATTCGATTGCGCGCGCTGCAGGTTATTTTTTCGTGTTGAACTCTTCTGAAATGAAATACTATGGTGAAGTTTAATTGAAAATATTCGATCGCGTTTATATGTGCGCGTGGCGTACAGCACAGCAATAGTGTACACATAAAATGCTATTATAAATTTCATCTTGGAAAACACATTTATCTCTAGCGACAAGAGAATAATTTATTTGCTAATACATAATAATTAGTTATGCATGATATTTTTACACGGTACAATGAATCGATTAATGGAAAATTACATATTATATTTGGTAGATGCTCCTCGCAGTAATGTGAATAAATTCGATTTACACGTATTTACACACAAGTAGTTACCATTCTTTGATATGCACATTATTCCATTTTTATTATAATGAATACAAAATTTATAAGAATTGTTTGGGCAAAATTCAAATTATTATAGATAACAGCACATTTATTTTATAAAAAAAATCTTTTTATATAATTGAAAAGGGAAGAGAAAGGAGGAGATATGCTATATACTAAATAGAATATATATAGTTTTATATTCACATTAATTTAACGCGTGCAAATATCGTTGCATATGATTTTAAACTTTATTGCGATTTGTGCTTTCAGGATGGTCCGCATGATCGGCGATGAATTCCTCACGGAGGAGCGGGACCGAAAATACTACGCCGATCACTACACATGCTGCCCACCACCTCTCTTCATCATCCTCATCACCCTCGTAGAGGTGAGTAGATCGAATTATCCTACCCCGTAACGAGCACTGCATGCGCCGAATAATGTGCATGCATACTACCTACTTTCTGCTCTTTGATCTTCGCGTTCTCGGTCGTGATTAATAAATTTTTAACGAGATCATTTATGCGCGCGAATACAAACGGCGACTACAATGCGCTATTAATCCATGCTGTTGTTTTCTTTAATCTTTTACCTGCAATCTTTCATTAGTTTTAAGATAATTTGTTGCTGCCGCGTCTATTATACAGTTGTTGAGTTTCGAATATTGAAATTATTATATAATATATACTAAGCTTAGAAATAACCTTCCGTTTAGTCTGCAAATTTCTACATTTTGTACCTATGTTTGCTGAGAGAAAGAAAGAGAGAGATAGAAACTTTAATTAAAAAATACGTGAAAAGATTTACGCGAATCCTTACATTACTTTTGCAATTTTACGAATCTTCTTTCCTCGTTCGCATATTATTCGCTTTTAATTGCTTGGTGTGCATTAATTGCAAGGGTCTTTATTTCTGCAATGTCCCAATGCAGATTCTCATTTCTTATGTACGTATGTTTACGATATTGTATCGTATTACGTAATCAAAGATTACAGTTTTGCCCGGAGGGAGCGAAGTCTAATATTCTTTGTGGTCTCAGAGTTAACTATATACCTGTAAAAGAGTCACGCACGCTCGCTCGTCTCTGTGTCGTCGTTCTCCATTATTTTCTACATTTTCGCCAAGATGAATAAGTGAAATAATCGTCTCTCGTCTCTAACGAGCACGCCAGATATTATGCGTACACATTACCTCTTCCCTTTGATCCCCTGACTAATATCCGTTTTGAGATCGTCTTATCTGTTTTTTTTTTTTTTTTTTTTTTTTCGTCGTCATGTATGCTAATGCTCATATTCTTCTCCAACCCTTTTTTTCTCTCTTCTATATTTTCCCTTGTGACACGCGCGGCGTGAAGATCTTCAAGACAGCGATTTATACCACCGGGCGACCTCGTTAGGCGGCGATTTTAATCTCCGTAAAGTAATTCGATACTCATAAGCTACCCTCGTTAAAAGCCTGTCCCGATACGGGCGAACATCTTGCGCAATAATGCTAATTAAAATTACGTCGGGTTATTATGTCACGGCTTGGGCATCCGATGCCGTTATAAATATTGATTTAATAGAGATACGCGGCGGCGTCAAAGGACGGCCGATCACGCACACGCGTATGTCGGGTCATTATAATAAAAGCGCGCGCATTCACGTGCGAATCTCTCCTCTAAATTATTTTTGTTAGGTTCTGCAGGCTATCAGGAATATAATGAATACACATATAATTACTCCGCTCTCATATTATAACCTGCGCACGGTAAAATTTTAATGAAAACTGTATTATAGAAACGTTTATATTGAGCGTTTTGGTCGCATGGAAAATGAAGTGATTATATTTTTAAATGAGTTCGGTATGCTTCGAAACATTGTGCGATTTTATTACGATGTGTTCAGCTTTGAATGTTTAGAGTGCGCAGCACCGATTTATCACTCGGTCCTCGACCTTTTCGTTATCGATGCGTGCGACAAAATATGTCAAAAATTACGCAAATTGCAAGTGCACGACAGTTGTTTTATGACTTGCGATATGCCACCATTATACCATCCGTCGCACCACCTTTTTTTCTGTCTTGTCCGTCTCGGTGAAAAGAACAGGAAGACAACGTAATTGTCTTCTGTAATGAGCGACTAGCGCACGACTTACAAAGTGCGCATGATAATGTTCTTTGAGCCCCGAGGACGCTGTAACCGTGTTTAATAAATTTTTAATGATCACGGTTTGTGCATAATTTAAGCGTAGAGGACAGCGCGTGACGTTGGTCGCGAACGCACGGACAATGTTCTCGAAATTCAGATTTGAAGCTCACAATACCATTATTAATATCTCGGACCGGAATTACGCGCTCTTACTCACGTGTGTTCGTCGTCAGCAATGTGTTCGTCGTTATAATAATAAAATTAACTCGGCCGTAACTAATGTCGAGTTGGATGAGTGAAATGCGAAAGAAAAAAAATACAACGAAAAATTTTTTCGTATTGCCTTGTACAATTTTTGCAGGACGTGATTTAGAATAAAATTACACAAATTGTATAAGGTGAATCGCGTAACAAATGATTTTATTACGACTGGCCCAGCTAATTTTTTTATTTTATTTTATTTTATTAAATTAAAAAGAAATACTAATTTAGAAGCTATTATTCTTCAATCAAATTAAAGAGAAATTGGACATCTTAAATAACGAGAATAAAGAGAAGTTAAATGTATTTATAATTAATTCACGAAAAACTGTGTTAATTATAAAGGTATTTGACACGTTGAAAATTGCAAAATTGTAATGTACGATAAACGCGACCATTCGCGTGAATTAAAGCTACAATCTAATTCAATCGTATTCCGACCGGTTGTACATGATCCATTTTTTTTTCAACCGCTCATCGTTTCTTAACACATCGATCGCGCATGATCGAAACACAAGACGATCTGGTTTGATGTTCGATGAACACTTGCGGTCGATGTGCTCGTTAATTAAATCTCGAAGTACCACCATAGTGTAAACTGCAGTCCAGGAAGCGACATGTGCGGCCACCGGGATAAAATGCGTCTCGGGATGCGGGATAAGTGTCCCCGCGACGTACGACGTGAAAGAGTAAATTGGTATCAGTAAGTTCTCTAAAAGGATACTTAATTGCCACCGCTCAGTCGTCATATTTCATGATTTAATTAAATCGCAAGTATCGCGCTTCTTTTTAGCTCTGTTAAAAGGTTGCGCATTCGTAATTTCATCCGGATGGAGGCTAAAATTGGATTTTAACTCGCAGTAAGCGAAATGCAAATGAAGGAACAAAGTATAAAAGAAATCGTCGCGACATTACCGATGAGTAAATTGAGTTTGTTTAGATATGGCGATATTTATAATTTTTAAATACTATTACCTCTTTTTTTTAGACGCTCTTTTTATTAATTTCTTTGAAGTCTCGCTTTTACGAGCTATTCTGTCATATTGCGCGAAGTCGGGGAAGAAAAATCATTCCTTTTGTTCGTTCAGTTTCGCTATGAACTTTGTGATTCGCCAGTCAAAGCATTTTTCGTTAATTAAATTCCCTGGTGTTTCATGTCGTAAGTATTGATGTTGGTGATATACCCGAATTTCCGCGAACGGGCTTTGAAAATTGCGATCAAGGAAAATTTGTAATTTTAGATGACTTAAGATAATTTCTTTTCACAAAGTAATACTAAACTAAAATCTTGTATACTTATATTAAATTGTTAATTCAAATACAAAATGACGTCGAATGTACGATGAATTCTATCTATCTCTATATATAGATATGCGCGTATCACACACAGCTGCTATTGCGGTTTATTTGTCAAGGAATTCCGCGCTAATTGAATCTGCAAGTATCGTAAGTGCAGCGTGGAAAGCGATCCCGGAAGCGTCGAACCGCGCGTTGCTACCGGACGGTTGCTGTGTACCAGGATAAAGCGTTCCGCCTCGCTATCTCGTCCGCGGCGACGAGTATACAGAGGAAGGGAGTCGAGGAGTTGTAATTTTAAACGGCTCACGGTTAATACCCATTAGCGACTGGGTTAATACATGATTCACGCGCGCCAGAGATTGTCACATTCGGCTCGATTCTAATTATAATTTATCGTCCGTACGCGATCCCCCACCTGACTTCCGCCTCGTACTCGTAAAAGCTCGCATCACTCGCGACGGTGCGCATGGGCACGTATTGGACAACGATAGAAATGTACGTTAACTTTTGTGAAACATCATTCGAGATTATATGTATATTAGTTTCATTTTACGGTACACTGTTTGTTAAATCTATAGTGTCAAATTTAACCTAATATGAGTCGCCACTGCTCCTATTAAATATATCGTTATTTTTTACTAAAATGATAATTAAATTTGACACTATATATAATATTAAATTGATACTGTATAGTGTCAAATATAACCATTGTTTTAGTAAAAAATAACGATATTATTGAGTAGGAGCGGTGGCGATTCACATTAAGTTAATTTGACCCTATAAAATTTAACAGTGATTGGAGATATTACATTATTATGTCCATTAATATTTTACTGAGAATAATTACTTGGTTCAAGTATTTCAAAAGTTTATATATTCGCAAATCTATCGTAAGTTCATCACAAGCATCAAATTTATTCGAAAGATTATTAAATTAAAACAAATTCAATTTACTTATTATATAAAGTCATTTCTTCGATCAATTTCATAATGTTTAAAAGAAAATTTGATTAATTCTTATTTTGAGTACATAATAATGAGTTTCTTCTGAAATTTATAATAAATATATTTTAAGATCATTATCAAGAAAATATTCTTTGTTGAAGTTAATCATATTACTTAAAATGAAGAAAGTAATCACTTTTCTTATCAATAGAATGATATTTTTCTGTGTGTGGTTGAAAATGGACTAAACTCTTATCATATAAATCGGAATTATATTTTAATTAGGATTATTATAGAGAGATTCAACTAGAAAATTCTAATTTGTCCTTTTTCATCTAGAATTTCAATTAATGCAACCAGACTCTTTTTTTTTAGTGTTTGCGTATTTCTTTCATTAGATGCTTCCTATGCTTTCTCGCTTTATTGCGTGAATAATTTACTTTGATGTTTGTACGCTTATTTGTACGGTTTCTCCTTTAATTCATTGTGAACGGGATCTGGTTCTACTTGAATCGAGTTTGAAAAAGACCAATTCTGTGACGCGCTAATAAAATCTTTGCGCAATATAAAGCTGGTATTTTATTCTTTCTCTTGCTAATTCTTGCTAAAATTACTATAATTTTCTGATTTCCCAACGGTTACTGTAACGGAAACTGGTTGGTAATGTGCATACGTGTAATTTATCTACGCGGTGTGCGTGTGTATATGCATGCGTTCGTAATACATTCCGGCTTGCGTGGATTACAAGAGACGA